ACACTTATCACATTTGATTTCTACAGTGATGGCAAGAGACCACAGGCAGCCTAGAATTATACTCATTTGTGTGTTTGGCCATCTCCTCCTTAATTCACCCCCATACCAGAACCAGAGCTCCTTGAGAACATGTACCTCATTTTACCTCTGGCTTTCCTATAGCCTTCCATGTAAAGTTATTATAACATATGTTCTAAATAATTTCTTTCAAATTATATTCTCTGCTGTCCCCCCAAAAGTGCCTTCCAATTCAGAGTTAAGAAAACAGGTGCCTTGTACATAGTTAGCGTTCAATAAATAGTTGTTAAATGAATGAATGACTTATTTATAATTTATTGAATTGAATGATTCCCACATCTATAATCTAAGCTCTACATATGTTGTTTGCTATAGGACACACCCACTTGGGTATCTCATTGACATATGGAATTTAGTATGCAGCAAGTTTACTATTTTTCCCCTGATAGAGATAAGATTTATGAATATCATTATTGCTGACACCCTTCCATTGCCCTACTCCTCCAGTTTGTTCGAGTCCTCTCCCTCCTGGCCCCTCATGTCTAATATTCATAATTGTGTTGATGACAGTTTCTCTGCAAGGTTTTCTATTTCCCTGGGGCTTTGTTCTCTGAGTTAGGAGGAAAGGAAGAAAGGAAGGGAAAGAAGGAGGGAGGGAGGGAGGGAGAAGGGAGGAAAGAAGGGTTAAAGGTAGGGAGGAAGGGGAAAGGAAATGAGGGAGGGAAGGCAAGTGATATAGTGAAAAAAATGCAGGCTTGGAGTCAGATAGACCTAAGGTTGAACTCTGGCTCCATCACCTACCAGCTGTGACTATGGATAAGTCTTTCTGAACCTCCATTTCCTCATATGTAGAATGAGGACGCTAGCACCTAGCTTGTTGTGAGAAAACAATGAAGCAGTGCATGTAAGGAACCCAGCAGAGTGCCCTCCTTGTTATAGGGAATTAAAATACAGGTGTATTTGGAAGGTGTGAGGTCCACTCCAATTGGCTGAGGTTTCTTTATGAAGTGAACAAATGGAATTACCTGCTGAGAGTAAGTGGAACAAGACAGTCACTCAACTTTGACAGAAAGGAGTAGTGATGCGAAGCCATGGATGTCTAAACTTACTAATAAAATCATGGGGAAGTGACTGGCTCCATATCATTGTACCCAAGTTAGCTTTATCCACATGTATTCTCTGTCGTGTGCCCTTTTTATCTTTCTAAATGTTCAACTTTGTCTCCAGCAAGGCTGTTAACAACCTTAGAGTGGAAACCAGGACTACTTAGTTTAGCACCTAGGACAGCACAGGAAATCTGTTTCTACCATTTAATCCATCTATCTCTTTTGCATCCTCCCCCACTGAGCTAATGCCTCATCCACATCCCACTTGAATCTTTTGCTATGTTTTCAGTTGCAATAACAGAATATCCCAACTTAGATGACTGTTTTAAAAAAAGGAAATATATTATCTTGCATATAAGTTCAGTAGTGGGTGGCTTTGAAGCTGATTAATTCAGCAGTTCAACAATGTCATTTTAAAAATCCTGATTCTTTCCATCTTTCTGATTGGCAAATCTTGGCATGTTGTTTGGCAGCTTTCACAGTCACAAGGTGCCTATTGCTGTTCAGGCATTGTTTCCAGACATGGCAATATTCAGTGGTAAAAGAGGAGGGCCTCTTCCTGTATGCTTATTTTTATCATTCAAGAAACCTTTCCCAGAATCTTTCCAGCCTCTCACATAACAGTGGCCTGAATTTCATCATGCCTATCACTAAGCCAATCACTGACAAGGGGGATAAAACGACCATGACTGGAACAGAGGAGCACAGACCCATGCGGCGGAGGGTGAAATACCTTAAAACGGCAATTTTTTCCACAAGGAGGAAGAGAGGGATGACTATTGAGTTGGTAAGGAATTCTGTCTACTACACCCTTTTACTAAGTAACCCACCCCTTCCTCATGCAGAGATCTGATCATCATTTTCTAAATGGAAGGTCTGGTTAGAGATATCATCTAGTAGTACAGAATGAGGTGGGTAAGGACCTAAAAATATTTCTCCCACCATTGTATTATAGGGGCCAGAAACTCCAATAGAGGTTCATTTCTTTGCCTTCTTACTGTCTCATCCTTGTAAAATGCAAGTATTCCAGGTCAAAGTGAAACTGGTGATAGTTCTCTTTGGGAAGCTTGGGAATCCAGTCAGCTTTGGGAAGCCAACTGGAAAGAGGCACAAAGAAATTTTGGGGGCAGCCGGGCGCGGTGGCTCACGCCTGTAATCCCAGCACTTTGGGAGGCTGAGGCGGGTGGATCACGAGGTCAAGAGATCGAGACCATCCTGGTCAACATGGTGAAACCCCATCTCTACTAAAAATACCAAAAATTAGCTGGGCATGGTGGCGTATGCCTGTAATCCCAGCTACTCAGGAGGCTGAGGCAGGAGAATTGCCTGAACCCAGGAGGCGGAGGTTGCGGTGAGCCGAGATCGCGCCATTGCACTCCAGCCTGGGTAACAAGAGCAAAACTCCATCTCAAAAAAAAAAAAAAAATTTGTGGGGAGATGGAAACGTTCTATATCTTAACCTGTGTGGTCGCTATATGTGCATTTATACAGGTGTATTAATCTCCTATGGATGCTATAATGAACTACCATAGGCTTAGTGACTTAAAACAATACACAGTTCTTCTCTTACAATTCTGGAGGTCAGAAGTCCAAAATCAGTTTCAATGGGCCAAAATCAAGGGTTCAGCAGGGCCATGCCTGAGCAGGACCAGCCATCTTGTGGCCATGAGAGACTTCAGGGGAGAATCGATTTCCTTGTCTTTTCCAGTTTCTAGAGCTGTATTCCTTGCATTCCTTGGCTCATGGCCCCTTCCTCCATCTTCAAAGCCAGTGGCCTAGCATCTTGCATCAGACCCCATATTGCCTTCTATCTCTGAGTCAAATCTCTCTCTGCCCCTCTCTCATAGAGACTAGTGATAACACTAGTGTCCACCTGGATAACCCAGAATAATCTCCCCATTTCAAGATCCTTAACTTATTCACATCTGCAAAATCTCTTTTTCATATAAGGTGACATTCATCAGTTCCCAGAATTAAGACCTGACATCTTTGGGGAGCATAATTCAGCCTGCCACAATAGGTAAAAATTCACTGAACTGCAGTTAAGATTTGCGCATTTTACCTCAGTCAAGAAATGCACAAACTTCTGGAAAAGAGTAATGATTTACATTCCGTTATAATAACGAATTAAAGACCTAGCAGATCTACTCTCTTCCTACTGAGAGGCCCATGGGTCTGAGTAGAAAGAGAGGATAAGAGGGATTGAGTACCTAAAAGGGAGGTAGGAGCCTCAAGTGTGGGTCTAAAGACAAAAATGGGCTGACCACCAGTTATTCTAGAGATTCTGGGAAAGGTTTCCCGGATGATAAAAATAAGCATACAAGAAGAGAAGCCTTCCTCTCCTGCCATTGAATATTGCCGTGTCTGGCATGAAAAGTACTTTCATTCTGACTTTTCACCTTCCTCTCAGACACCAGCCTTGGCATGTATATGAGCCTTTCCTGTATGTCCAGCATTAGTTTTTATTCCACTATGGTACCTGCAGAATCTGGGCTTCTTGTACTATCTGAAAGCTCCTGAGAAGGAGAGAGTTATAGTAACTAAACAACAAGGCCCTCAGATGCATATTGGCTAGGAATGGCAGGGGCTGACACTGTGAACTGTGCCAAGAGAATATGGGACAGCCATGCAGAGCCCTCAGTGAGGGGCAGGAGTTAGGGAAGGCCGTGCCCAGCCCTCAGAGCCATAGCCAAAGCCATCCTCTGAGGAATGGACACTGCATTGTGGGGGTTGGGATTGAGGGCTGTGTCTATAGATAAGTAATGGCCAGCCAGCTGTAAGGGGAGGTGAAGGGGATCAGAGTCCTGAACCCCCAGAGCTTGCAGAGTCTGTCTCTACATTCTCTATGCCTGTGAAGCCTGAACTTGGGCCCTATGGGAAGGACAGTCAAGAAAGGAAGATTACTTTGTTGTTACCACTGTGGGGGTCCTGGCAGCTGCAGAGACAGAAATATCTCTAATTCCATGAGCGGTCATATGAGGCAAGAGAAGCTGCTTAGAGCATGGACTTAGTTTCAGGGATTGGATAGAGTCAAGAGTGGGAGTGAGGAGGTTTACCCTAGGTGGGGGTGATGCAGATGTCAATTGCCTATTCCCTCCACATGCATGCCCTGCCAGAAGAACCTGTCCCTGGGCTGGGAATCTTACGTTACCTTCTTCTCCAACGAGAAAAGAAGTTCAAGGCTCACAGACATGTGCACATACAGCTCAATGCACTCAGCTTCCCCTCCGCCACTCCTGCCCCCACTACCTACAGGAGATTGACTCCTCCTGTGCACATAAGCTGGGATAATCAGGGTTTCTAAACATCAGCTTCAAGAGTCCAAGGTCCCAAGTGGTGGGGGGCTGGGTACAAGGTACTCTTTCCTATACCTGTGGCTTTTGTGTGGCCTGGAGCCGCTGACACAGAAATTGGAGTGTGAATCAAAGTATTCCTTTCAAAAACACAAAGTCCTATACTTTGAGCCCTCCCATTTCAACCCCTCACCATGCTTCACCTTTAAGACCTTTAACTCCACTTTGACCCAAGTTCTCGGGTTCAAGACCTCACAAGGCCAAAATCCTGAAGTTACCTTTCTCAAACTCCCCTGCCTTTAACATCATCAGAATCAACCTCCTACCCCCACTCTGTCCCAGCAGCAATAGCCTGCTAATCTTTTAGCCACTAATCTTTTAGGCACTAATCTGCTTTCCAAACTCTTGGCACCTGAGCTATTTATAGCAGTGTTTCATGTCGCCCCCTAACCTCCCCCCCCCCGCCGCAAAGAACCCTATTCTTTTCCGATGACCCCCACCAATCAAAACACTCAGAGGACTGTGGGTATAAGAGGCTGCGGAGGCAAGCATAGCAACCAGAGCTGGAGACTGATGTGAACTTGATCTCTCTCCCCAGGTAATATTCCAAAGCCCTCTACTTCTAGCCTATATGAAGCCCTATGTCCCTTGTTCTTAGCATCCCCTTTAATATATTAGGCAGCAGTTGAGGGACACCCTTCCTGACATAGCCTATAGACATTCAGGCCTAGAGACCCTCCAAAGACCTCTGGAATCTCCCCTAAGCTCAAAGGGAAGCACTGGAGAGACATCTCCCTGTCTCTGAGGATTCCCACCCCGAGGCCTAGCCCCTGGGAACCTGGATGGGGATAAGGATAGGAAAATCTAGGGAAGGGAATGAGAGGGATGAGTTGGTTCAAGGAGGACTTTCAACCTCCATAGAGACTTCTGTCACCAAAAACTGAGCGCATGAAGGCATCAACCCCTTATCTCTCACACCTTTATCCCTTCTTTGTTGAGAGTCAAGGCCATCATGAGGTGAACTCAAGCTCAGGACCCATTGCAGGAGCAGAAGTAGACAGAATCCATTCATTTGTTCATTCATTCATTCATGTATCCAGCAAACATGCCTTGCCTGCCAGGGGATGTCTACCCTCATACAGACCAAGAAACACATTTTTCTCATGCTTTTCTAGATGTAAGCCTCTGTCCAGCCCCTTTCCAGAGAAGTTCCTTCTCTCTGAGGGCTCTCAAGAGTTCCCCAGCCATTCTAGGAAGTTTGGCCCTTTCTGGAGAATAGATAGTATGGTTATTCAATGATTTGTACGAAGTAGGAAGGTTTTTTTTTCCCCCTCTTGACCAAGATGGGCAAGAATATGGCTGAAGAAGGCTAAAGAAGTACCCTTGGCACAAGGGAAAACAGGAGGTACTTGATGCGGGTGAGCTGTCTGTCTGAAGAAAGGTTACATTACACTAGGTGTATATGGATGGTATGCTGGAGTGGGATGAGAAGAATAGAGATGAAATGATTGAGCCTTTCTTCTTTCCCTCTTCCTAGAAAAGGCTCAACATCAACTATATAGCCAACATGTCCAAGTAAGAACTCCTAATCCTCTAAACCTGTGAATTGCTCCCTATCACCATTCAAGTACTTGCCTTTGGGATAGAGGGATTTCCAATCTTTCCCTAATTTGTGTCCTTGGATTCTACCCCAATTACCTCTAGCTTTGCCCCATCCTATGCTCCTGGAGCCTCTTCGCCTAATCCTAAGAATATTTCTTTTTCTCCCCACCTCCCTTATTTCCTCTTCCCTGATCTTCCAATCCCCCTCTCTATCCTCTTTCTGGTTTTCTCCCCATAGGGTGTTTAAGAAGACCAGCTCCAATGGGAAGGTGAGAGAACCTGGCCCAGCTGGGTAAATGAGAGGGCAAAAGGGATAGGTGGGTACATCCTTCAAGGTCAGGGGTCTGGGTTGGGGGTTTCAGGGGAATCCATTCAAAAATGATTGTGAGAATAACATGGGAGGTTGTTCCACAACAGCTCTCCATCTACCTGGGGAAACGGGACTTCGTGGACCATGTGGACACAGTGGAACCCATTGGTCAGTGAGTCCAAAAAGGGGAAGCCTGGGGAAAGAAGAATGGAAACTAGAGAGTAAAAGAAAGTCCAGGAAAGACCTCGCAGAAAAGGAGGCCAATGAATGGGAAGAATGGGAAGAAACATTTCAGGGATCATCTTCTATTTCATTGTCGGAGAGTTTTTCCTGACCAAGGTGCTGTCTGTCCCTCTCTCTGCAGATGGTGTAGTCCTGGTTGATCCCGAGTACTTAGAAGGTCGAAAGTGTAAGTGGAAATCCTTGTTGGTCTTTGTATGTTTCAGACAGGTAACCCGATGAGTGGATTGCACCAGAAATGTATAAGAAAACCAGAAAGTGGCAGGAACTGTGAACGCCTTGTCTGTGGAGGCTGACAACTGGGAATTCCAGCCCAATATGGCCGAATTTTCTAACTGTTAACTAGAAACTGTAAATGAAGCTCAAAATATGAAAAGATTATGGTGCCCCCTTACCCAAATAATAGTCCAAGTAAATATCTAAAGCATAAATTAAGTTTTATTCTTCAAAATTTTACAGAATTTACACTTGTGCTGAAATTAAAATAGCTTCTTTCAAAATTTTGAATTTTCTCTATTATTATTGGTGGTGCCCCTGCTTGGCTATTGATCTGAATCTTAGACTGCCTATAATATAACCCAATAAGCCAGAAATCCATATTTTAATGCAAATTTCCTGATTTTCAAATGTTGGCAACTCACTAAAAGACTTTAGAAGCTTGGATAGATTAAATCCCCAACCCCGCTTTTTTTTTCTGTTGCCTAGATGTGACCTTCAGGCTGCCATTTTGCAACCTCTGGTATACATCTTTCCATCTTCCTTTTTGTGTTAGGAAACTGCCTGACCTTTTATTCAAGAAAAAAATCCCAAACAAAGAAACAAAAAAACAACCATAAGAAGTAACAGTAAGAAACATTACTCAGGAAGCAGCACTACATATCAAGATTACACTGAATTTTTTTTTTTTTTGGCTGCTTTTTTTTCCCTTTTAATTCTCACCATGGATTAACTCCACTGTGATCCAACTAGAATGAAAATTGGGTTTGATTTGAAAAAGGCCCTGAATGCGTTGATGAATACTAGTTCAGATGTAACCATTAGATATTGAAGAATAAAGTAGCCTAAATCAGATTAAGCAGTGTCAAAAAGCAATCCAGTCAGTTTGAAATATTAGAGGAAATTTGGGATAGACTCATAAATTAACCAACTTATTTAAGGTTCCCAAGTATTCTATATTTCTAAAACCGAAATCATTTTTTCACATTTCTATAAAATCCTCACAAGCTATGGAAAGAAATCTTTAGTTAAAAAATATATGTTGTTCTAGGAAAATAATGCATTTTTCCTTTTATTCTAATCTTCCTTTATGTCCCCTTAGTAGAGTTTTATTTTGCTTTTCATTTAAGTTGTGCATATTTTTTTTGTTTTTTGATTTTTTTGTTTTTTTGAGACGGAGTTTTGCTCTTGTTGCCCAGTCTGGAGTGCAATGGCAGGATCTTGGCTCACTGCAACCTCCGCCTCCTGGGTTCAAGAAATTCTCCTGCCTCAGCCTCCCGAGTAACTGGGATTACAGGCATGCGCCACCACACTCAGCTAATTTTGTATATTTAGTAGAGATGGGGTTTCTCTATGTTGGTCAGGCTGGTCTCAAACTCCTGACCTCAGGTGATCCGCCCACCTCAGCCTCCCAAAGTGCTGGGATTACAGGCGTGAGCCACCACACCTGGCTAAATTGTGCATATTTCTTGTTTATTCTTAATTTTTTCAATATGTTTTGTTACCTCTATAAAGATTGTCTTGTTTGCATCATATTTCCTAATGTGTTTTTCTATCAAGGTACATTTGTGGATGTAAAATATGCTTACTCTGTACTGTGGAGTGATAAAGGCCAGTGACAGGGCAGTAGTATATGTGGTGGTGTGAACAAATCGTTGTTCAACAAAAATCTGGAATCTCGAATCTCTCTATTATTTCTTACAACTGCATGTGACTCCGCAATGATCTCAAAATACAAAGTTTAACTTCAAAAGGATAATGAGAGCAAAATAAAAAATACCTAAGGTGGCCTTGTGTTCAATTTTAGCAACAGACAAAGTTGGGAAACAAACACAACAGATATTAACGGTAGTTATCTGTGGAACATGATTCGTTATTTTGGAACTTTGATTTGTCTCTTCTGATGTTCAGACAATTAACATATTTTTTGTAGAATAAACACAAGTATAAACTAATAACTTTAGAATAGATACTGACTTTTGAAAGGAAATAAAAACAAGCAATTTCCTAGCATGCAAAACAAAAGGATAATTCTAAACTGCTAGAAAGCCAATTAGAACATCAGTGGGGGGTAGGAGTTGCGAGATGCAATTGATGTCTTAGTCTGCTGCCCTCCCTTCACAGGAATAGCAAGCGATTCCAAGAACAAGTCATCTGATTAACACACTTATCTCAGGGACTACTAGATCCCCTTCTGCCTCGCCCATCCTGACCTTTTTTTCTGTCTCATTCCTCATCTCTTTCATATCTTCTCTCACCTGCCTTCTTCCAGCCACCTCTTTTCGTCTCCTTTTTCCCTTTCTGTCTTTCTGCTTTCCTTTATCCCTTATTTCCCTTTCTTTCTCCTTTCTCCCACTATAATTGGCCATAATTGAGAACCAAGGTGAATCTATTTTTTGTATCTTTTGAAAATTACTAGGTTTGTCTCCATTGCAGAAAAATTTAAAAACATAGATGAAGAGACTGTAACCTTGCCATCTTTAATAGCTAATAATATTTTTCATCTTATTTATTCATATTTATTCATAGCATTAAAAATGCTATACTATAAATAATATTTTATAATCCTTTAAACCTGTGTTAGTATATAAAAATCTATACTCTTTAAGTTGCCTAGTATCATATTGTATGGGAATACCACAAAGCCCTGTAATGCACATCCTTTTCATACTAGTTCAATTATTTCTTTAGGCGAAATGCCTAGAAGAGAAATTAATGGCAAAAAGGCATTCACCATTTTTAAAGCTTTCTATACCTATTGTCAAATTGCCCTCTAAAATGCTTATGCCAATTAAATCTCCCTCCTGCAGTGCATGAGGCTGTCCATATTACCCTAGCCCTTATAAACACTGATATTATCAATACTTTCAGGCTTTGCTGTATCTTTTGAGTATAGGTTCCTTTTCCTCATTCTCAATTTTAAAAGAAAATAATCTGGTGTTTGATGTTTTGAGTTCTGAAAAATACTAAAATAAGTTGCTTTCTACTCAAGTGCTGCTGTTGGTAGTTTTCTTTCCTTTGGATCACAGCCCCTGATAGAAATAAGGTTACCCATTCGTGTTCTACATCTTTACTTACCTCAACCTCTGTCACCTTGTACATGGACAGGTATCCCTCCCTACTCCATTCTACATTCCATTAGCCCTCTTCGGAAGCTTTCTGTCTGCCTCTCATTTGATTTCTTTCAAATCTTAGGTGCCAGTTACAACGTATGGGTTCAATTATAACTCTTCCATTTCTGTCAGTATTCCCATCATCATCATCAACATCCACACCTACATTATTTGAAGTTTCCAAAGAGATTTCTTTTTTCTTTTTTTGACATGAAGTCTTGCTCTGTTGCCCAGGCTAGAGTGCAGTGGTGCCATCTCAGCTCACTGCAAACTCCACCTCCTGGGTTCAAGTGATTCTCCTGCCTCAGCCTCCCAAATAGCTGGGACTACAGGCACCCACCACCACGCCTGGTTAATTTTTGTGTTTTTATTAGAGGTGGGGTTTCACCATGTTGGCCAGGCTGAAATTGAACTCCGGCCCTTGGGCGATCCACCCAACTTGGCCTCCCAAAGTGCTGGAATTACAGGAGTGAGCCACTGTACTCCGCCTGCAAAGGGATTGCTTATATATCAACTCCTCACAACTGTCTTATGAGTTAAATTAAATACCTATGAGCCTGGACTTTGGAGACAGACAAGCCTGAGTTGAAATCCAGAGCCATTGTTTAACAGCACTGAGCTCCCTTTCCACACCTGTAAAGTGGAGATAATAACACTTCAGAGGGTTAGTTTGAGGTCTAAATAGCATGCGTAGAGCTACCAGAGCAGTCCTATTCTTGACAGGTGTAATAACTGAGACCCAGAGAACTCAAGGGGTTTGGGCAAGTCCTAGCCAAGTCCAGGTGTTCTGAGCCTAAGTATTATTGTTTCTCTTTTTCATGATAAAATATTTCAGGCATAGAGGATTATGTCAGGAATATTCTGTAAAAATTACCAAGCTTTAGTAAGAATGACAGAAACAAATTAAGCCTCCTGTGTGTCCTTCCCTGATCCAGTTTACCTTCCTCCCTCCCTACTCCTTCTCCTCCTGCTCTCCTCCCTCCACCCACTATCCTGAATTGGGTGTTTATTATTCTCTCAGTGGCTCCATTCTTGTGCTCCATATTTACGTGTCTATGATCAACTTTGATATTTTCCTACATTATTTTAAACTTTATATAACTGGTAGCATACTGTGACTATCATTCTGCAGCTAGATTTGTTTCTTCAGTAGCTTCTCTCTCTCTGTCTCTTTTTTTTCTTCTTCTTTTTTTGAAGCAGACTATTGCTCTGTCACCGAGGCTGGAGTGCAATGGGGCAAACTCGGCTCACTGCATTCCCCGCCTTCCGGGTTCAAGCAATTACTCTGCCTGAGCTGCCCGAGTGGCTGGAATTATACATGTACACCACCATGCCGGACGAATTTTCGTATTTTAGTAGAGATGCGTTTTCACCATATTGGCTAGGCTGGTCTTGAACTCCAGTCCTCAAGTATTCTGCTGCCTAGGCATCCCAAAGTGCTGGGATTACAGGCATGAGCTACCACACTGGGCCTTGCTCAATAGTTTTTGAGATTTAACCGTGTTGACACGGGTCTTAGTGTGTTTCTGGTGCTACAGCAAAATACCTGAGACTAAGTAAAGAACAGAAATTTATTTTCCCACAATTCTGAAAGCTAGGAAGTCCAACATCAAGGCTCCAGCCGGTTCAGTTGTGTGATGAGGGCTGCTCTCTGCTTCCAAGACGGTGCCTCACTGCTGCATCCTCCGGAGGGGAGGAAAATTGTGCCCTCACGTGGTGGAAGGTGCTATCTAAGAGCCTTCATCCGGTTCATGAAGGGATTCATGAACAAAGAAGGCCCATGATCTAATCATTTCTTAATGGCCATCTTGATACCATCACAATGGCCATCAAGGTTCAACTCCTGAATTATAGAGAGGACACATACAAGCCACAGCATTCCATCAAATTCTAGTTCATGTATTTTAACCCTGGTTTAGTATTCCATTTTATAAATATGCCACAAATATTTTACTCAGTCTCCTGCTGATAGATACTTAGATTATCTCCAGGTTTATGTTCTGACAAACATTGATGCAATGGCCACAATCAAATGTATCTCTTTGTAAACATGAACAAAAGCTCCTTTAAAGTCAAATTATTAGGTCATACACTACGAGCAGTTTTAATTTTACTGGATAATCCCAAATCGATTTTCAAATTAGTTGCATTAATACTCCCACGAGCAGTAACAACTCTTTTGTTCCACATCTTCATCAACACGTGGTGTTGTCAGACTTAGAACTTTTTGACAATCTGATGGGTGGGAAATCTTATCTGGTTGTGCTTTTAATTTGCATTTATCTGATTACTAATGAGACTAAACATGTTTTCATGTGTTATTGAGCATGCCTTCACATTCTTTGCATACTACTATACTGGTCCACTATTCTTGCTGATGTATAATGTGCTTACATATTTTGGACGCTAACCTTCTGTGTATTATATATGTTGCAAAGGTTTTCTCCCAGGCTTTCCTTTTTTGTTTGTTTATAAAGATATTCAATATAAATCTTACTGCTTTCAAATGTGTTAATAGCGGTTTTCTTTGCGGCCATAGTCTTTCGATCATATTACATCACCTCTCTATGTCTTCTTGACCCAGTTAAAATTCTCCTTCCCACTCAGGCCTGACAGGCCACTCTCTTCCTCCTTTGCCTGCAGTGTTTGTCATGTTGACATGTGCCTTTCGCTATGGCCGTGATGACTTGGATGTGATTGGTCTGACATTCCGGAAAGATCTGTATGTGCAGACCCTGCAAGTGGTCCCAGCTGAATCCACCAGCCCTCAGGGGCCCCTCACAGTCCTACAGGAGCGACTGCTGCACAAGCTAGGGGACAATGCCTACCCCTTTACCCTGCAGGTACTGACCCCAAGCCCTGGGCAGGCAAGGTTTCCAGAGAAGATTAAGAGAGGAAGCTCAAGAAGGGCAACAAGGGAGAGGGGTCCCAATTTTTTTTGGTATCAGTTTGAATTCTTTTCTTTTCTACTTCTTTCTTGACCTCTTTTTTGTCCCCTAGATGGTCACCAACCTGCCCTGTTCTGTGACACTGCAGCCAGGTCCTGAAGATTCAGGCAAGGTGAGGACGGAGGACTGGGTTCTAAGAAAGAGGGATAGATGGTAGTGCCAGGGTAGAGGAACAGTGGGACAAACAGTCAAGACTGGAGAGAAATGGACAGCTAAGGAAGGAGTTCAGGCATTTTCTTATAGGCCCATGGGGAAGGGAGGACAGCACTGGCAATGAGCTCTCTTTGCCCCTGTCCCTTTACAGCCCTGTGGGATTGACTTTGAGGTGAAGAGTTTCTGTGCTGAAAACCCAGAGGAGACAGTCTCCAAGAGGTATTCTCTGCTTCTTCCCCAAAGTCCTTGCCTCCAGTCTGTCCCAGAAAACAGATCCTGCTCTGGTGACAGAAATAACCCCGCTTTCAACCTCCACAGACTCGTTGCCACCAGTGACGACTGTTTCTGAGTATTCTCTGACTTCTCTTCTTTGCTCTAGGGCAAGGGTCAGCAAACTTTTCTGTACAGTCCAAAAAATAACTATTTGGGTTTTGTGGGCTGTGTAGTCTCTGTTGCAACTACTCAACTCTGCTGTTGTAGCACAAATGCAGCCACAGGAAGTACAGAAATGAATGAATGTGCCCGTGTGTCTGATAGAACTTTATGGACACTGAAATTTGAATTTCATGTAATATCCACATATCGTAAAATACTATTGTTGCTTGATTTATGTCAACCATTTATAAATGTAGTATAACCATTCTCAGTTTGTGGACCATAGGAAAACAGGCAGCAGGTCAGATTTGGCCAGTGGGTCATAGTTTACCAACCTTTGGTCTACATAGGTACATTAAGGGTCTAGAGGAGTTCTCTGAGGGGGGCCTTCGTCTATTCCCGTTCTTAAGCAAGGGTTGAGCTATGGGGGTGGCATGGGAGAGGTCTGTGTGTCTGAAAGGAGGATGCTTTGACTGATCCGTTGGTCTCTGCTCAGAGACTATGTGCGACTGGTTGTCCGGAAAGTACAATTTGCACCACCGGAGGCAGGCCCTGGCCCCTCAGCCCAGACCGTTCGCCGCTTCCTTCTGTCAGCTCAGCCCCTACAACTCCAGGCCTGGATGGACAGGGAGGTTTGTGACCTGCACTTTCTGCCTCCTACCCCAACACCCCCTCTGACGCCCTTTTTTCATTGATATCCTACTTGGCAGGCAGAGATGGGAGCCAGGCTGGCAAGAGTGCTAAGGAAACAGGGTTTATAGGTCTCCATCTGTGCATTCTTCCTCCAGCCTTGACATGGGCCCCTCCTCCTGATTTAGGTTCACTACCACGGAGAACCCATCGCTGTCAATGTTTCTATCAACAACTCCACCAACAAGGTCATCAAAAAGATCAAGATTTCCGGTGAGTTTCCTTTCCCATCCCTCTGCACCTGGTCCCAAAGCCACAGGTCTTTTTCCCCCAATTCTTTCTCACTTACCCATCTGCATTCATCTAGGCTTTCCCTGTATCACGCACCTGTCAAAATGTACATCTCATTTTGTCACTGACCACGTGCATGATGTATAGTGTACTTGTGTATAAGGTCACCTCTAAAGACAGTAAGCTGGGGTCTCAAAAATGACTGATTGATTATAACCACGTGCTTTTCCCGGCTTGTTCAGTTGACCAGGTCACTGATGTTGTCCTGTATTCACTAGACAAGTACTCCAAGACTGTGTTCATTCAGGAATTCACGTGAGCTGGCACTGGGGCTGGGGTCAAAGAGCTAAAGGTTCGGGTGTTGGGAAGAGGTCCAGTAGGCCGGTGAGAAGGTGGGAAGAACAAAAGGGAGGGGAAGTTCTGAAGAATGAGGAAGTTCAAGATGAAGGCTATAGTAGAGAATGGGAGGGATCCCCAAGACAACGGGATGGTGGGGACACAACTTACCCCCAGGAGTCCCATCACAATGCTGAGCGAGGGCAGAAGCATAAGGATTTCCCACCAGAATGAATTTCTCCCAGTCTTCACGGTTAGACATGTTACCTCTCTGGGATACTCCAGTAGGTTCTCACACAATCTTGTACAAGATACTCTTGGGAGTCAAAGTGTACTTAGTAGGCAAACCCAGTCTAAATCCTTCTCTTGTTCGTCTTTCAAAGGGAGACTGTAGCTGCTAATTCCAACTTCTCCCAGAGCTTTGCAGTTACCCCAATCCTGGCTGCCAGCTTCAAGAGACGGGGCCTGGCACTGGATGGGAAACTCAAGCATGAGGATACCAACCTGGCCTCTAGCACGATGTAAGCTCAAATGTAACTCTCAGCCTCCATTTCCTACCCCTCGACCATTGCACATGCTACATATACAGCTCTGAGGTTTCCTCTTCAGTGAAGCCTACATGTTTTTAAACTGTCTCTAGGGCTGTGTTCACTGACCCCTCCAGGCACCCAAGGGCCAGCAGCAAGCTGAGTAATGCCCATGGGACCAACGGCAGGCTTAGGTCAGAGGTGGAAAGAAAGGAAAACAATCCTTACCTTTTATAAGATTTCACAGTTCACCGAGGTCCTACTTATGTACTGTGTCATTTTTGTGAGAATCCCACTAAAGTAGCCTGGATAGATGTTCTTACTCCCTTTTACATTTAAGGACCCTGAGGCTCAGAGAGAAGAAGGAACTGCTTTAAGGTGGCATGGCTGATAAGAGGTACAGACAGACAGGATTTTATCACATGTCCTCCGGCTCTGAATATTGCGATCTCTACAGAATCTACTCTCTAGAAAAGATGGAAATGCCATAGAGGGCTAGGAGTTGAGAAATGGAGAAAAAGGAGGACAACAAAGGAAAAGGATGCAACAGAAATTAATAGAATCTTAGGAAGTCATTCACTTGGTCCCGTCCCTCGGAGGGCTTAGCCTTAGATGTGTCTCCCAGCAAAAATCACCTGCCAGCATCTGATAAGTGTAATCCCTCCATCTCTCCCCATGGCTTATCAATCAAGCAGCTATAGACTGCTATTGCTGGGAATATCCTTAGAAATCATCCAAGCAGAATTATTTTATATGTAAGAGATCAGCAGCACAGAGCAATAATGAGACTTTTCCCAAGCTCCCTGGAGGAGGTAGAGTGAGCTAGATCTTGAATGTGAAGGATCTGGTTACCAACAGACAAAAAACAGGAGCATTCCATACTGGGAACACAGCATGGGAAAAGGCTAGAAGATGGGAATCCACATGGCATATTCTGATCACGGAGACAAGATGGGTCTGCTTAGGTTGTATCCAACAGTTAAGGCAGAAAGGGTTAGAGGCTAGATAGGGCAAGATTGTTAGGGGTCTTGAAAGTCAGGCAGAGTAGTGGTTGTATTCAAAAGGTAGGCTCTTGAGCAGAGGGTGACATGGTAAAACTGAATGTTAGGGAGATAAATGTGGTCTCCATGGGTAGGAGAGCTTAGAGCCTGTGAGATACTCTGGGAGAAGACTAAATGTTATAGGAGGTGGTGATGGGAATGCATGAGAAGAAACTGGGGACTGAATGAATTCTCCTAATGCCCCTACACACCCCCAAATGAATACTACACCCTCCAGTATTAGACCAGGAATGGACAAAGAGTTGCTGGGGATCCTGGTGTCCTACAAAGTCAGAGTCAACCTGATGGTGTCCTGTGGCGGGTAAGTGAGGGTTCTGGGTCTGTCTGGGCATGGGCTAAGGAGTCAAGGGCTTTTCACCTCTCTTTTTCTCCCAGTTAGATTGACCCAATCAAACCATTCCTCACCCCTTCTCCCAGACCAGGTTCCCAAACCTGTCAGCTCAGCAGACAAGTCACTTTCCCTTCCAGAAACCCATTCTGTGGCTGGCCCATTAGGGCTTATGATCCCTCACTCTCTATTAAAACTATGTTGCCCCTGCTCTATTTGCTCCTAATAATTTTGGGTGTCATTCTACCCACAGCATCCTAGGAGACCTGACGGCCAGGTAAGAGACTGTGGGGTGGGGGGACATGGGCAAGAAGAGGAGGACAAGGGAGGGTCTGAGGGCATTCAAAGACTGGAAACCTACGGGATGGAGGTTCTAGGGATTGGGCTTATAGAGAGATGAAATGTCAATCCACATTGGGATCCTTGCAGTGATGTTGGTGTGGAGCTACCCTTGGTCCTGATCCACCCGAAGCCATCTCATGGTGAGTGATCAAGAGGAACTCACAGGGAGGGTTTTCCTGAGGGCTGAGGTCCAAGGCATTCTGATCTCATGAATTGCAGATGAGCAGGTTGGCTGTGGATGGAATAGCAATAGGCAGGCTGGGTGTCTAGGTTTTCAGGGGAAGTGTGTGTGTCCTGTGTGCAGGGGAGGAAGAATTGGAAAGGGAGGGAAAAGGGTAAAGATACTTCTTCAGGGAACTGAAGAACCCCTAATCAGCCTCAGATCCATTTATTTCCCTCCCTCTCCATGCTTGCTGCAGAGGCCGCTAGGTAAATGGAACAGGAGACTTGGAAGCCCCATTCCCCCCTTCCCATTGCCACTCTCCATGTTACGACGATGGAAATGTGAAAATGCTATCCCATGGTGCTTTAAATACAGTTCCAGTGTAAACATATGGCTTAGCTTCGTGTCACAGTTCGGTGCTTTTCATATGCTTTCTGTTCCCATTCTGCATATCCCACCTTCCTGCCCCTTTTGTCTTTCATTCTTTGATACCTTCCCCCTTCCCACTCCTCATCCTTACTTCCCTTTCAGTGCTCCTGGGGAACTCTTGTGCTGGGACATTTGGGCGGGAACGAAAGGAAACAAGCCAGAGTGGGTGATGGGAGGATGGGGTGGAGGGCCTCAAGAGGGGGCCAAGGAGCCTACCTGGGAAGCAGGGAGGGGATCACTTTTCTGGGATCAGGAAAAACCAGTGGACACGGAGGACACCCAGAAAGGGGTTGCTAACCCTCTATTCTCTTTTGCTGCTTCTGCAAGCTCTGAGGACATAGTCATCGAGGAGTTCACACGGAAAGGCGAGGAGGAGAGCCAGAAGGCTGTGGAGGCGGAGGGAGACGAGGGGAGCTGAGCACCTTGCCCTGGTGCCCGTCTGTGTGGGAGCCCCCACTGTAACACTCTAATAAATCGGCTTGTTCAGATGTGCCTGGTGATCTCTTGCCTACTTCCTCCAACTGGAGGGTCATGGAACTACTGAGAATGACCTTCCCTTCCCCTCGCCTTCACTGTGACTACACTACACTTAGCCCATAGCCCATGTTTTCCCTACGCTGACCCCCATTTCTCTCTGACACAGTCAGTGGCCATCCCTGTCTCCACCCCAAGACCTCACTGGAGCGGTCATAGGATCGCTCTGAACACCAGGAGCCCCGCGAGCTGCCGGGAGGGGGCCGATGGGGCGTGGCCATGCCCAGGCGTCGGCGCCAGGCCAATGGCCGTGAGCCGACGTCGGTAGAGCGCCACGTGACGTCAGGTGGCACGGGCTGAGCGCAGGAAGCCATTTTGGCTGCCACCTACCTACCTTACGCCATGTCTGCCTTCGGTCACGGCAAGGCCTGGATGGAGGAGGCCAGAGACTTTGGCCTCAAGGCTGCCGAAGGACCAGAATACCAGTCTCTGTGCAAAGCTAAACTCGTATTCCTGGGAGAGCAGAGCGGTGCGGGTCTGGGTTGGGCTTTGGGGCCAGGAAGGTGTGAATGGTATTAAATGGGGCGGGGCTTTCTCCGGGGAATCGAGTTCCTCTTTGGGAAACGTTGGAGTGGGAGGAGGATGGAGGGCCCATAGAAACTTTGAGGGGAGAAAGGGGACCCAGGGCAACGATTGGCCTGCTTATCTCCCTCACAGTAGGAAAGACATCCATCATCACCCGCTTCACGTACGACAGCTTCGGCTGCACCTTCCAGGTAAGCCCGCCACCGAGCCATACCATACATTTGAGCCCCTCTTCTTGGCGGACTCACCCGGAGAGTCTCCTCCTCATGGTTATGTATTGTACGGGTAGGGAAGTGGAGCCAGGACATTTTCCTAAACGGTCATTCTCCACTTCGGGCTCTAAGACTGCCTCATGTTGGGAATAGAGGGAATGCTGGAGAGTACCTGACTTTCTTTTGCAGGCAACTGTTGGAGTTGACTTCTTGTCTAAGACCATGTGCTTGGAGGACCGAATAGTGAGTGTTAACACTCATACCACTAACCCTACACCAGCCCCTTCAGCCTGTTCATCGAAACAGTAGGGTAGCACCATCAAAAAAACGAAAGCCTCTTCAACTTACCAAGCCCTGTGAGGTTTCTTGTTCTGTCTGCCTTCATCTAATCTCCAATTGTAACATCCTTAAAGTTCAAGCGACCTTGAATCCTTAAATCTGCTGTGCTATAGGGTCTTCCTGAATCAAATCAGTATCTTAAAATTGGTTGCACCTGTCCTAGGACTATAGGCCACTTGGTTTCAGGCCACAGCAGCCGCTTCTCAGGGACCCAGTCTCCCTGACTTTTGATATTCTGCCTTTACTAGGTTTGATCTTTTTACAAACGCTAGTTTCTTTTCTACGTTTCCCCATCCTCTTCCTAAACATTTGTTTTATGCAGGTTCAGCTGCAGCTATGGGACACAGCTGGCCAGGAGCGCTTTCACAGCCTGATTCCTAGCTACATTCGTGGTTCGACTATTGCAGTGGTTGTCTATGATGTCACAAGTGGGTGTTGCGCAATGTTTTATTTGAAAAGGGGATTATAAAGGAAGTGACAGGGAGGTCGATACAATTAGCAGAGAGGAATGGTTCCCTCCAAATCTCTACTAAATGTTTCAACACTCTGCCACATGTTCTCTTGCAGACATCAGTTTTTTGTTTTTTGTTTTTAAGACGGAGTTTTGCTCTTGTTACCCAGGCTGGAGTGCAATGGCGCAATCTCGGCTCACCGCAACCTCTGCCTCCTGGGTTCACGCAATTCTCCTGCCTCAGCCTCCTGAGTAGCTGGGATTACAGGCACGTGCCACCATGCCCAGCTAATTTTTTTGTATTTTTAGTAGAGACGGGGTTTCACCATGTTGACCAGGATGGTCTCGATCTCTTGACCTCGTGATCCACCCGCCTCGGCCTCCCAAAGTGCTGGGATTACAGGCTTGAGCCACCGAGCCCGGCGACATCAGTTCTTTTAAGGAGACAGATAAGTGGGTAGAACATGTTCGAGCAGAAAGAGGTGACGATGTTGTCATCATGTTGGTGGGTAACAAGATTGATTTGAATAACAAAAGGTAAAGTATAACTACAACTTCCTCTGTAATACCTAAAATTCAGTCTCTATGGGGAGGGTCGACTGTGCTCGATTTATTTGGGGAGGAGTTACCCTGGCTCCCTGTGCCCCCCAGCAGCAATGTAGGAGGGGAAGGATGAGGACAGGTCCCATTAGGGCATAGGATATGGTGGGGGGTAGAGGAGAGAGTCCCCACGCTGTAATCAGAAGGATCATAGGTTGAAGGCCTCTAGGGTTCCTTGCTCTAAGTAAGCATCATTACACCTCAGAAGACTGTATCCCTATCCACTAACTCTGGTCCTTTTCATCAATTCTAATTTGCCCAGACAAGTTACTGCAGAAGAGGGTGAAGAAAAAATCCAGAAACCTCAATGTGATGTTTATTGAGACCAGTGCCAAAACCAGTTACAACGTGGACAAGGTAATACTTGTTTCTTTTTACGTTACTTTGATTGCACTCTGTCTGTAGCTACCACCATTGTTTACTCTTTGGGATACCTTTGGCTTGTCCTTTGTGGGGTGGGGGGCAATGTTCATTGGGGGGCAATGTTCATCTCCCATCATGTAGCCCAAAGTCCCTGAAGTATCCCAGCCTCTGAACCTGACCTTGTTTTCTTCCTTTTTTTGTCACCTTTCACACACACACACACACACACACACACACACAGCTGTTCCGACATGTGGCTTCTGTCCTTCCTTCCACAAGTACTTCACATCCACCAAAAGAGGGGCGTATCCTTTTTCCTACTTTTGCTGGGGTAGGGAGTATACAAGCAGGGAAGGTAAGTTTCCTTTGTTGAGTTGATAGCTGAGTGGTACTTAAGAGTTTCCTGGCCGGGCGCGGTGGCTCAAGCCTGTAATCCCAGCACTTTGGGAGGCCGAGGCGGGTGGATCACGAGGTCAAGAGATCGAGACCATCCTGGTCAACATAGTGAAACCCCATCTCTACTAAAAATACAAAAAATTAGCTGGGCATGGTGGCACGTGCCTGTAATCCCAGCTACTCAGGAGGCTGAGGCAGGAGAATTGCCTGAACCCAGGAGGCGGAGGTTGCGGTGAGCCGAGATCGCGCCATTGCACTCCAGCCTGGGTAACGAGAGCGAAACTCCGTCTCAAAAAAAAAAAAAAAAAAAAAAAAAAAAAGAGTTTCCTGAGCGGTACTTAAGGTTTGGTCTAACTTTAGCGTAAAGTAGTTCCTTGGTTTGCCTTTAGGTGAGGGGGATTGTAAGATCAGAATTCCTCTTCTACATCTCCTAGAAGCCGACCCTGGGTGTTGAGATTTGACTCCAGTCACCTCACTGTATTAGCTCCCTTAACACACACTTCAGCAATTGAAATTCAACTGGAGCCCTTCAAGGAGTCAGGCAACAGGAACTGCCGTTCCCAGTGACAGCTTAGGCTTTCTCTGCCTCATTTCATGGGTTTCCTCCATCTGGGCTTGCCACACCAGTTCTCCCCCACCTCGTTGTATGATACATGGCCGCTTACTGGCTTCCAGTTCCTAGCCTTGGGGTAAAAACAGAACCCCTGACAGTGCTATCATATTTTTCTGACTGCATCTCACAGCTACTGGGCAGAAGCTTCTTGCCTCACCTGGGAATTGTACCTTACCTTCTCAGATGGCTAAAAGACATCTATAGAGAATACAGTTCTACAGCAGCCGACATACTTCGAAGGCAGATACAATTCAATCTCCACTCTTTGTTGTTGTTTTTCACCTACACCCTCAATAAATGACTGGTCCTTTAACCTAAGGCTGTTACTGTTTGTGCTTTCTCCACACTGTACCTATATTGTCACAATGTAATTATCTCATGTTGATGTCCCAACAGAACTATTCCACGTGTCTCAATTGAGAACCAAATTACAGAAGGAGGGTTTCTGCCTCTTAGGCCCCTGGAACCTGGATGGAACTTTGTACCATGGTTTTTGTTCTTCTTAGATGAATTGTTTTTTACCTGTTAACCATAGGGGTAGTCTTGGACCTCAGCATTCAGCCGAGTGACCCAATGTGCCTTTATGGACATAATCAAGCTACTATTTTCTTTCTCTCGTGGCCAGTGGGATTAGGTGGGGATCAACAAAGAGGATCCTAGAACAGGATTTCCCAGGGAACATAGAGACAGCTACATTAATTCTACCTCCAGCTCTGCTGTCAAGGGATGTTGCTACCTCACAATAGCACTGAGGCTCTAGAAGAGGTATCTCAGTAGAGCTGGGGTCAGATATATAGGAAGAACGAGAACTTCCTCATACAGTGTAGCACTACTATTTAGAACATTGTTTCACATATTTGAAGACTTACATACTTTGCTTATTTAAAAATCCAGATATCCAGACTGCACGTCAGACCCACACAATCATTGTCCAGTTGAAGAGCCTGTAAATATATATTTAAATTCTCCATGATTCAAGGGAAATTTTGGGCCTTTATCCTTGGGGTACATCACCCCATATCACACTAGAAAACTTTTATTGGCGTCACAGTCTCACTCTTTCACCCAGGCTGGAGTGTCGTGGCACCATCTAGGATCACCGCAATGTCCGCCTACCGGGTTTAAACTATCATGCCTCAGCCTTCCAAGTAGCTGGGATTATAGGCACATACCACCATACCCATCTTATTTTTGTAATTTTATTAGAGACAAGAGTTTTACCATGTTGGCCATGCTGGTCTCTAACTCTTGGCTTCAAGGGATCCGTTTGCCCCAGCCTCCCAAAGTGTTGGGATTACAGGTGTGAGCCACGGCCCCCAGTCTCACACTAGAAAACTTTAAATTCCACATGTGTATTTTGAACATGCCAGTGGCGATGGCATAGGTGTAACTGACAATCTAGTTATGGTGGATTGGTAACTAAATATCTAAAAACATGGCCAAACATTATTTGGGGCTGGAGTTAAGAAAAGGGAGAAGTCAGCAGTTAGTACTACTCAACTTACAAGTTGGAAACGGAACCAATTTATTATTGCTGCTTCAGAAAAGAAATGCATCTGGCCGGGTGCGGTGGCTCAAGCCTGTAATCCCAGCACTTTGGGAGGCCGAGGCGGGTGGATCACGAGGTCGAGAGATCGAGACCATCCTGGTCAACAAGGTGAAACCCCGTCTCTACTAAAAATACAAAAAGTTAGCTGGGCATGGTGGTGCGTGCCTGTAATCCCAGCTACTTAGGAGGCTGAGGCAAGAGAATTGCCTGAGCCCAGGAGGCGGAGGTTGCGGTGAGCCGAGATCGCGCCATTGCACTCCAGCCTGGGTAACAAGAGCGAAACTCCGTCTCAAAAAAAAAAAAGACATGCATCTAAGCCCCTTCTATCATTTATGATCCAGATCAAAGAATGTAGGAAAGGAGAAGAGAGAATTATATTAATACTGGTCCCTGCAGAAAAATGTTCAAAGCTTGTAGGTGAAGGAGCAATTTTTTCAGTGCCCCTCACTCTATGCCATTCCTTGGTTATACTGTGGTTAAAGTTCCTTGGCCTCCCTAATGTTCTGGCCAGACATCATAGGTTAATTGTGAGGTAGGTATAGTGTTAGTGTTCCTTCCAGTGGCTCCTCTCTTTGGAAGAGCTTTTTCTTCCCTTGGTAGCATTTGACATCCAATCAGTAGCATTCAAAAGTCACACCAATATTTCTTCAGCATTGTGTTTTACTTTGGGGGGAGAGGCTAAGAGGAGGAAGGGATAAAAACGGTCTCATTGGAGTCTCCAAAGTGTATGAAACCTCCGGTAGTACAATGATGGGATGTGATGGCCAGGCAAGTCAGATGGGAAATCCCTAAGATTCTTTTTGCTACTGATTTCTGTAATTAAAATATAACATGTGTAAGGGACTAGTACATGGTATTCAATAAATGTCAGTTGTCTTTCCTAACTACATTCCTCACAGGCTAGGTTTTGCCTAAATATCATCATCCTTCTCCTTTCAGGGAATGAAGCTCACCTAGAAAACTAGGGAACCAAAAGCGTAATACAGTTTGGGTAATGCAGTTGGTTAGCTGTCTCCCATCCTACCAACTCCACTATTACAGGGAAGGGCTGAAAGTAGAAGTAGCTCCCCTGAAGTCTAGTTAGCATGTCATGGTACAGTCCACATGAAGGGCTGTGGGCTGCAACTCTAGTGCACAGTCCGCTCCTTTTGGCGATGATAATCTGAAGGAAAGAAGAAGAAAAGGAGGAACAGAGCAGGTTATCTTCACACTTGAGCTCCTATTCCCTATCCCCAACTTGTAGGGCCTCTAGTAATCAGAACTGAAAGAGTTCTTACCTAGGGTCCTGTCAGGAAAGTGAAAAAAGAAAGTGACACTTACTGTAGGGAAAGAAGCGGACACGCATGCTGATTTCACGAGCTGTCTTCAGGATCTCAACAGCCTGGAAGCAACACAGCAGCTTGTACAAATGAAGAAATACGACCCAAGACAGAATCATAATGGGGGGCCGGGCGCGGTGGCTCACGCCTGTAATCCCAGCACTTTGGGAGGCCAAGGCGGGTGGATCACGAGGTCAAGAGATCGAGACCAGCCTGGTCAACATGGTGAAACCCTGTCTCTACTAAAAATACAAAAAATTAGCTGGGCATGGTGGCACGTGCCTGTAATCCCGGCTACTCAGGAGGCTGAGGCAGAATTGCCTGAACCCAGGAGGCGGAGGTTGTGGTGAGCCGAGATCATGCCATTGCACTCCAGCCTGGGTAACAAGAGCGAAACTCCGTCTCAAAAAAAAAAAAAAAAAAAAAAAAAAAAAAAAAAAGAATCATAATGGGAAAAAGGGATTTGCCACTCCTATCTCTGTGTCACTAAGAGCTGCTTCCCTTTGGTACACTTTCCCAGGAGAGGTACTTACTTTGTCTCTTTTTTTTTTTGAGACAGGGTCTTGCTATGTTGCCTAGGCTGGTCTTAAACTCCTGGGCTCAAGTGATCCTCCCGCCTCAGCCTCCTAAGTATCTGGGATTATAGACGCGTACCACAGTGCCCAGCAAAACACTTTCTTATTAAGTCACAGACTAGGCTACTCCGGTCCAATCTGTCCTATGTGAGATGGCTTCTTGCAGTACCACAGCCCAAGTGCTGTGCTCACCTTGCTGTGCTCGATATCTTGGAAATCCACATCATTCACAGCTAGAACTTGGTCCCCTTCCTGAAGTCCTGCTCTATGTGCATCAGAGTCAGGAATCACCTGTTGGTAAGGAGAGAAGACATGTGATTGGGATGCAGTAATTTCAGAAGACTGTCAGGGAAATTTGGTGCTATTCAAATGTAAGGTGCTATTGTTTTTCTGTGACAAGGTATGCAGACAGATCGCCTGCCAAATGAAAAGTTTTAAGTGGGAAAGGGGGTGTCCCCATTATGCTCCATCTATGAGTCTGAGTCATCTTCTCAGCCCTTGAGACATTAGGGTTCTGCAATCTGTTATTTTAACAAAGGGAAGTAACTATCCATATAGCCTACTGGGCATACATACCTTGGAGATGAAGATGCCTAGCTGGGAGGCCTTTCCTCCTCGGATGTTAAATCCCAACTGTAAGACAAGAGCACTGAATAGGGGCTCAATAGAGACAACAAACACAAGAACAACTAGTAGCATCATTGTGCAATAGTTCTGCTTGTGTGTCCCTGTGAGGAAAGTCAGAAGTTGTAGAAGTGTTATCTCAGCTTTTCTGTCCACAAGGAGGAAAGTTTCCTCACATCTGCACCTGCTTCCCAATCTATCTCCCCAACACTGCCAACTTCTGGTAAGGAGGAATCTAGCCTTGAAAAAGACTTCATAAGTTCACCTGAGCTCCAGGAGGCTTCTTCAGTGTGATGGTTCGGGGCAGAAACTGGGTCAACTCATTGTTGTAGTCTGGGTGGTGTACCCTCTGCAAGACACAGCAACCCCAGAAATTTTATTACCAGTCTTACTTCACACTTACCTTCACCTGGAACACTAATGAATCACCCTGAAGTCAGAAAAAGGAAAGGTCATAGACTTAATTTAAGTAGAACAGACAACACTGACTAAATGAGTAGATGGATAGCACTGGGACAGCCCAGTAGCTCCACATTTCTTCACATCTTAACAATATGGAAACGAAGGCTCCAAATTTCCAGAATTAACTGGTGTGAATGGACCCTAAGAAGTTCCTGGTGGGTCCTGTTGCTCAGAATCCAGCTTCTGGGTCCTCTGGCTACAAGTGCTAAGATTCACTCTCCATTTCGCCTTCTAACTCTGCCATCCTACCTTTCATGCATCATCTCATCCCAGAGGGGAAAAAATGTCCTACTCAGGAATACAGATGGTTCCCACCTCATGAGGAGGAATCCATGCTGGAGGATTCTCATAGGCAGGCAGGAAAACCACCGGGTAGTCATCATAAGGAATCCGGCTGTCCATCTCGGGCAAGGCCCTGGAATGGAAGAGTGAATCAGAGCAGACAAAAAGCAGTTTAAAGGAAAAGTAGCTCAGCAAGTTTCAGAAAGCAGCTTCAACCTATTCCAAGGCAGTCAGTCTATGGGCCCAGCCCACATCTAGGTGTTAAGGTTGGAGGAGAGAAGGAAGAAGAAAGAAGGAAACTCTTAACTTTGCTAAACGTCTTCTGGATGCCAAGCAATCTGCCAGGTACTCTAGAAAGAGCACCTGATTTTTCAGAACAATCCCGCAAAACAGATGTTACCATCTTAAACCTGAAGAGGAAATCAGGGTCAAGTCTAAAAAGGTCTACTTTCAGCTGGGCGTGGTGGCTCACACCTGTAATCCAAACACTTTGGGAGGCTGAGGTGGGCGGATCACGAGGTCAAGAAATCGAGACCATTCTGGCCAACATGGTGAAATCCTGTCTCTACTAAAAATACAAAAAAATAAAAAATAAAAAAATTAGCTGGGCGTGGTGGCGCATGCCTGCAGTCCCAAGTGACTCGGGAGGCCGAGGCAGGAGAATCGCTTGAACCCGGGAGGCAGAGGTTGTAATGCGCTGAGATCAAGCCACTGCACTCCTGCCTGGCGCCGGAGCAAGACTCCGTCTCAAAAAAAAAAAAAAAAAATCTACTTTCGAAGCCAAAAGAGGTGTTGACTTAACTATCCTCAGGGACTCCGGGCAAGGCACCGCCCCACATTTCCTAGATGTGATTAGTAATGGTAGGGTCCCCAGATCGACCCTTCCTTCACCTGATAAGCCACCTTCTACGTCCCCGCCCCACATTCTGCCTTTTCCCCAGCTCTCGGCCGCCTAAACGCCGAACCACCTCACCAGTGGGCAGTCCCCAGCGACCTCAGGCTCCGCTCACCGCCAATTCAGACTGAGAACCGGAAGCGGATGCTAGGCCGGGTAGAAAAGAGGCAGGGCCAGGTTGCGATGAGCTGACCCTCCCCTTTCTACTGCGCCGGCCTGTGCACGCCGACGTGCGCGCTCTGCGCCCGGGCAGTCTGCACTGCAATTGGTTAGCGTCTCCGAGACGGATTTGAAACTTGGCGGTTAAAGCTCCGGCTGGGACAGGGCGGCGGGAGACCCGGGGAGAACAGGGAAGGGACATTTAGTTTGGTGAGTTACGGGGGCACACCTTAGCTCAGAATCTGTTTTTTCTCGGTACCCTAGGGCTTTGGTTCTTTGTCGTCGTCCCCGTTGGAGTTTTTTCTTTGCTTTTCAGACGCCAGTGCACTCTCTTTAGAGTGCAGGGCTGACGGGCAGTCTAGCCCTGGCCAAGTCCTGGAGAGTGAATCTCCCGAGGCAGTGATCCCGCTGAGGAGGGTCGGAACCCGGGAGGACGCCCTCCCAACCCTGCTGACCTACTAACATTCATCAGCGAGTCTTCTTTTTCCCCTTCGCAGAGACGGTGCTGAGATAGGATCATGAAGGAAGAGGTGAAGGGAATTCCTGTAAGAGTGGCGCTGCGTTGTCGCCCTCTGGTCCCCAAAGAGATTAGCGAGGGCTGCCAGATGTGCCTTTCCTTCGTGTCCGGGGAGCCTCAGGTGCGTAGCAGAGTCCGGAGCCTGTGTCTGAACAGCTGGGACCAAATGGTAATGAGGAGTGTAGTCTCTCGCCTTTCATTTTTTCCCCTTACGTCTTGTGTCTTGCCTTCTCTAGGTGGTGGTTGGTACTGATAAATCCTTCACCTACGATTTTGTGTTTGATCCTTCCACTGAACAGGAAGAAGTCTTCAATACAGCAGTAGCGCCACTCATAAAAGGCGTATTTAAAGGTGAGGCGATTTGATTTTTCGAACATAACCTATATATTCCTTAAGCATATACTATGTGTCAAGCACTGTGCTTCGGCACTGCAAACACAGGAATGGATGAATCATGATTGCTGTCTTCAAAAAGCCTTCGGCCTAATAACATTTGTGAAAGTCTCTGTACCCTTGAAGCTAGTTTTATGCTGTATTTGCTTTATGTGGTTCTGTTTATCTTTGACTTGTATGTGTTTGTGTTTATCCTGGAACCTCATTCGATTATAAACTCTTTGGTGGTTGCTGATGGTGATCAGTGTACTAACCTACTTTAGGCTCAGCCACTACAAAGCTTGTTGAGGGATTCAGGAGATAAATAATATAGCTTCCAGGCCCTGAAGGAGCTCACAGTTATAATGACTACATAAATAATTTCGAATATATTAAAAATTGTAAATTTTTTGTACCTACCTTTTAGAAGAAAAATTTTTTAAGTTAAAAATATGCAACAGAGTCAGTCCGGCCATAGAAGTCGCTCTGCTCTCATACAAAGTGGTAGGAAAAACAAAAGGATGGCTCTAACTGCTTGGAGAATTTGGGGTGAATTTTACAGAGTAGGAAAACTTTGAGATGGGTCTTGAATGATAAGTATAATTCTTTTAGGTGGAAAAGGGGAGTTCCTAAAGCCTCTGAATACTATGACCAGTTAATAATCTTTATTTCAGAAACTAAGTCTTTAATGCTGCTGAAGACCATAGCAGAGTTCTAAAGAGGAAAGCAGTGCCTGAGAGTTGTCTAATTATTATTCTAATACAGTGGTTATTCAAGATTCACAACAAAGGTTCATTTAAAAGAAGTAGAATCATGGCATGCTAGTGCTTAAAGTTGAAAACAGCATTTGTATATCATCGAGTTTGGTTTTTATCCAAAGAAAAATGTTTTCTAACAATATCTGTTAGGTGAATTGCCAGTGTCTAAAATTTTTTCTTTGGCAGGGAACTCACTGACTCACAGGTAGTCCAGTTGAGATTTGGGTTTTGGATGAGTCTAATTATGTTGTAAAGATCTTTATGTTGAGATGAAATTTGCTTCCTGGTAAACTTCTCCCCAGGGATGTTAGTTCATCCTTTTAGAAGCCGCCTTCCAGGCAACAGCTACTCACATATTTTTTCACCTTTTTTTGTTTAATGATATGGCACAAGGAACATTGAGAATTTTGTTTCAAAATTTTAAGATGTTAATGCAATAATTTCAAACTTATAGAATGTTGCAAGAACAGCATAATGTTTTTTCCCTGAACCATTTGAGATGACTTTAGTGTATATTTCCTACAAAGAAGAACTTTCTCCTAAGTTACCACAATACACCCATCAAAACAATGAAATTTGCACTGCTACATTACTACCATCTATTCCTCAAACCCCATTCAAGTTTCACCGATTGTCCCAGTAAATATGTCATGGCAAAAAGATCTAGTTCTAAATCACGTTTTATTTAGTTTTGCTGCCTCTTTAGTCTTCATTCTAAAACAGTTCTTTAGTCTTTTTTTGACTTTTATGATTTTTGACACTTTGAAGATTACAGGCCAGTTATTTTGTAAACCGTTTCTCAATATTGTTGTGTCTGGTGTTTACTTATGATTAGATTCAGGTTGTGTATCTTTTAGCAGGAATATCACAGAAGTGGTGCTGTTTTCTTCTCATTGAAGCCTATTGGGCAGCACATGATTTTGATTTGTTCTGTTATTACTGATGTTCATTTTGATCATTTGATTAAGTTGTTAATCTGCTGGGCTTCTCCACTATAAAGTTGATTTTTTTCCTTTTTACATACTGTATTTGAAAACTGTTAAATGGTTCTATCTAATTCTCTTCTCTTTAATTATCCCTGTCTTTCCTTTAGCCATTCCTGAAGCAATATGGTTTTCAGACCCTTCACTGTCTGGTCAGATTCCTCAGGCTGTACCTTCACAGCTTAGTAAGAGCACTACAGTTCTACTTTTATATTCTTAACTTGGGAAACTGATAGAATTAAATTATGTTATTTAAAGGCAACATAAAGTAGAAAGTGATTCCAATATACATGTGTTTGGTTAATACTGCCCTCAGTTGCAGAAACAAAGCCAGTATTTTTTATAGTCAGCTGAACAGCACTCTCTTGTACTCTGAACTCCTGGTACCACAGAGCCCTGAGTATTTTATAAAAACTACTAAAACCTTATTTCCCAAGTTATTGCTATCTAAACATATCTGTGGTATTGTAGAAAATTATGGAATGTTATTCTCTTGCCTCATAGTCATGCCAGGTGATACTAGCAATCTATTACAATGAAAATCTCAGTTTAGCATCTTCTTATGATCTTTCATTTAGACCAAAAGTTCTTTCAAAACTTCAAAGTTTTCATTGACGTTAAAACATTGTTTCAAAGTTTAAAGATTTTTCCTTCAGACTGCAAATTTATCTTGGTAAATAGCAGATAACAGCTTTGACATAAATATGATGATCATTTAACAGAGAAAGCTTGCTTTGTGTTCCTTGACAACATGTCTGCCACACTTGTGAGGGACAGATTTCCATAAGGTCATTATTTTTTTCACCTTGAAGTAAATTTGGATTTCTAGTTCCTTTTAGATGCTATATATATAGTTTTAGAAGCTACTACCCTATAATTAGGTAGCAAGTTGTAGTCATGCCTCAGTTAATGACAGGGATACCTTCTGAGAAATGCGTTGTTAGGCAGTTTTGTCATTGTATGAACATTGTAGAGTGCACTTATACAAACCTAGATGGTATAGCCTCCTATACACTTGAACCTTTTGCTCCTAGGCCACAAACCTACAAAGCATGTTACTGTACTGAATACTGTAGGCAGTTGTAACACCATGGAAAATACTTGTGATCTAAACATAGGAAAGGTGAAGTAGGTCGGGCATGGTGGCTCACGCCTGTAATCTCAGCACTTTGGGAGGCCGAGGCAGGCAGATCACCTAAGGTCAGGAGTTCAAGACCAGCCTGGCCAACATGGTGAAACCCTGTCTCTACTAGAAATACAATAAAATAAAATAAAATAGCGGGCCATTGTGGCAGTCACCTGTAATCCCAGCTACTCAGGAGGCTGAGGCAAGAGAATCACTTGAACCTGGGAGTCAGAGGTTACAGTGAGCCGAGATTGTGCCATTGTACTCCAGCCTGGGTGACAGAATGGGACTCCGTCTCAAAAATAAAAATAAAATAAAAAGGTGAAATAAAAATACGTATGAATACACCTGTATAGGGTACTTACTGTGAATGGAGCTTGCAGGACTGGAAGTTGCTCTGGATAAGGCAGTGAGTGAGTGGTGAGTGAATGTGAAGCCCTAAGACATTGCCGTATACTACTGTAGACTTTATAAACACTGTATACTTAGGTTACACTCAATATATTAAACCTTTTTTCTCTCTTCAGTAATAAGTTAACCTTAGCTTATAACTTTTTGACTTTATAAACTTTAATTCTTTTAAATCTTTTTGACTTCCTTGTAATAATCCTTAGCTTAAAACACAAATACATTGCACAGCTGAATAAACGTTTTCACTCTTTACATCTTTATTCTGTAAGCTTTTTTCTTTTTAAAAAATGTATTTTTTTACTTTTTAAACTTTTTGTTAAAAACTAAGACACAACCATCCACATTAGCCTAGGCCCACCCGGGGACAGGATCTTCAATATAACTGTCTTCCAGCTCCACATCTTGTCCTACTGGAAGGTGTTCAGGGACAATAACATCCATGGCACTGTCATCTCCTATGACAATACCTTCTTCTGGAATATCTCCTGAAGAACCTGCCTGAGGCTGTTTTACAGCTAACTTTATTTTCATAAGTAGAAGGAGTATACTCTTAAAAATGATTAAAAGTATAGTATAGTATACTAAACACATAAACTAATAGCAGTTGTTTATTATTATGAAGCATTACATACTGTACATAGTTGGATGTGCTATACTTTTATATGACTGGCAGTGAAGTAGGTTTCTTTACCCCAGCATCAACACAAACATGTAACAACATGTTACACTACAATGTTAGAATGGCTAACTAAATCAGTAAGCAACAGGAATTTTTCACCATCATATATACATTCCCCATGATTGAAATCCTATTATATGGCTCATGACTGTAACAACTGAAGTTGAAGTG